GTACTTCGGAAGCCGATTGCTTTAAGCTGTAGTACAGGAATTTCGAGAGCAGATTTTTGGTTTGAAGTGCCTCGCGCGACTTGTCTTTGAGGCAGAAGCTATGATCTTTTTCGCCATACGCCAGAATATGCTCCAGTATAAAAGTGCGCAGCCATTTCCAATCGTCGTCTGCTTTGCGCAACAAATACTTCTGTATATCGAATTCGTCAAGGAGCAACGTGTTACCTACTTTGTGGACAATCATACTGACGGCACTTTTAGATGTATAGGGCAGCTTTAAGAGCCGTTTAATATTTTCTGCATCTGTTACAACGTCTACCTCGCCTACACAGTCCGGAAACATGTGCGCAATGCTAAAACTGTTAGGGTGTAGAACATAATATGTCGTTTATCATAAAATTTGGAGTGAGAAATTTTATTGACTCACCTTGCGAAACCTGGTGACTGGTAGAGGGCTTGGTGTAGGCCGCTATTGTTCGACGTGGTCAACCAGTTTGAGGGTGGCAGATTCAAATTTGTGTTGCATTGTAGTCGATTAAAGCTCACCGGTACCTGTACCGCTGAAAACTTCACGACAGCCTTCGATTTAACTTCCACTAGCTCGTGGGGCCCAATACTTTGGCACAACTCAATCTGCAAGAAATTACATGGTCGGAGTGGCAGCATCTGTTGCTTTTTCTCGACATTTCTCACCTCGTCTGCGTTGTCGGACATTATGAATACTGTTTATTTTCATTCCAGGATGGAATACAAATTAATTATGCCTCTCGTAGAATTATATTGAACTTTTAACCGCAGAAATTCGCATATATTTTATCGTCAACTTCGATTTATTTCGAGAAGAATCGTATGAGAAAGAAAACGCAATATTTACGAAAAGGAGTTGGAGGAATTACATAGCCGACTGCGCCAGTGATGTCTTTTCTGTCCTTTGGGTAATCCAAATGGGGATAAAATAAGTCATTATAGCGAAATTTTAGTGTAAATACTTACATAGCCATAGGAGCCTATGAACCAACTAACATCACGTAATCGGAAAATAATGAAAAAGTAAATTTCTGAGCGTTTCTGAGATCTGGCTAAGAATGAAAACAAGCAAAGAAAATTAAAAACGGCGGTGATTGAGTGCGGTTATATTGGTATTTATTATTAAATATAATGGTCCGTAGTCATAGTCAAAATAAAGTCGACTTTAAAGTTAGTTGCAGCTTTTTGACATAATTTTCAATGGGATATCTGTCAAAAAAGCTGCAACTAACTTTAAAGTCGACTTTATTTTGACTATGACTACGGGCCAATAAATGAAACTTGATGACAATTACCAATAAGCGTTGTTGTTGTTGTTGTTGTAGCAGCACGTAGTCCCCGAATTGGTTGGTTGTTTATTCATCTTCCCCATCTGACTCCTCCAACCTTAGGCCCAGGAAGCGAGCAGTCTCGATAGGTTGAGTCCACAACGCTTCGGGTGTCAGATGGGTGGGATATGTAGGGCATGCGAACAAGTGTGTGGTGTTGTGTGGACCAGTTCCGCATGCTGGGCAGGTGTCAGCGATCTCTGGGTCTAATCTGGTTCTGTATGAATTTAAGCGGCTGCACCAGCAATAAGCGTTCATAATATATGGTTTTCATGATTGAAAGTGTTTTATAATCGCATAACATCAGCACGAGCATTCACACAAATTTAGGCCTTTTGGCTGACCAAACAAACGCACAAATTTGTTCCAATCACAAAGCACTTCATTTTAGATCATAAATTTGTAATAGATAAAAATCAAAACTACAATCGATAAAACCAATCAAAATAAAAAGAGCAACCCCGAAGTGATAGAAGACGATGTAAACAAAACGAAAAACATCAAAAACGCTACGAAAACTTTTTTCTGAAATTCGATTACAAATATGTACAACGATGGCTGATTCCGTTATCTGGAGTCGTTGGTTCATGATAGGAGCCTATACAACTACCAATTTCCTAATTAAATAATTTTTATAACGGCTGCATTTCTTTATTCATTCTGAACGTTTGGAATAAACTTTTTTGTTTATTTATTCTTTAGAACGTTCCTGATGATATGTTGACGTATATTTCAAACGCATTCTGTTTATTCCGGCTGTGAAATTGGATTATCCGGAATGTATAAAGAAACGCAGCCAACATGTTATAACATCAATAGATTCATAGGGAAATATATTTTTTTCACTATGCATAGACTTAAGTTCTTTGATAATCAATGCCTCAGGGATTAAGTCATGTAGCTTAATTATTAATTCAGGGGGGTATACAACACTTCCGATTAATCGAAAGAACTATGATTTGATTTTTGATTTGATTTTGATTTGATTCATTGCAGTCATCGGTATGCACTACCGGAAGTACAGGGTCGAACGTAATGTCACAGGGCGACCACAATTCACAATTATCGACAATTTGTTTGAACAGCTGATCAGAATTTATTATTGTTTTGTTTTGTCTTCCTATAGTTCGAACGATCTTCGAAATTTTCATGCGATTTGTGCAAAGCTCGCATTTGTCTTGCGGAACTCGCACATATTGGTGTTGATTGTAAATAAAGCTATTCAAATAGTGTTCAATACGTACAATTCATATTTGCATAGTAATGGATGTAAGTATGTCTTATTGTTCAAGTATTCAAGCACCTATGTAATTGGTTGTTGAACCTTGTGCAGAGCTTAAAATCTATTTACGTATGTAATATATTTATTTTACAAAAAGGTCGAAATACTATCAGCCACGGGCTCCAAATCATATGGAAGATGCCACGTCCCTCCTAGTACTACCGTTGGCGATTTGCGATATATCATACATAAGCAATATAAAAGCACACCGGCCCCGGAACGTCAATCTTTGCGACTAGAACCCCGTGGAAAGGCTCTTAAAGAAACGGATACCTTGGAGTCTCTTGACATTGGAAAATCCAATAAGATTTATATAAAAGACTTGGGACCACAGATAGGTTGGAAGACTGTATTTTTAGCTGAATACGCCGGGCCTCTCTTTGTATACCTTATATTCTATGCTCGTCCGGATATCATCTATGGTGAAGCCGCAGATAAGCCAATTTCCTTAACAGCACAGTAAGTTTGCAAAAATTCACTAGCTGAGCGCATCCGCAAGCTTAATAGTAAAAGCAGCGACTACAACAACAATTTCGACGACCTACTTTAACCTTTTCATTTATTTTATACATATGTTGCCGTGGGTTGTTTTCGATGTTCGTTGCCGGTCGATGAAACTACTGTGCGCCAAGACAAAGTTTCACAAGCGCTCATTAAGTTTCGCATTAATTATTGGCTGGTTTTGTATTTCGCAAACGCTCGAATACTATAATATGAATAATATAAATGTACATATGTGTGTTAATAATATTTTTCATATATCGGAAATTTGTTTCAGCATTGCAGCTGGCTGCTATACCGTGCATTATTTAAAACGAATTTTGGAGACTATATTCGTGCATCGTTTCTCGCATGCGACTATGCCTATTCGCAATCTCTTCAAAAATTGTAGCTACTACTGGGGATTCACAGCCTACGTTTCATATCACGTTAATCATCCGTTATTCACCAGTCCTTGCTGCCTTCAAGTCTGGAGTTTTTTGGCTGCTTTTGCGGTAGAGATATTTCAAACACTTTCATTATGCGTGGTCACTAAAATTCAGTTACTTTTCAGATTTGTGAGTTGGGTAATTTTTCTATTCACATTGCCCTCCGCAACTTACGCCCACCTGGCACTAAAGTGCGCCGAATTCCGATACCTGATGGAAATCCCTTCACAAAACTGTTCAAGTATAACTAATCATGCCTTACAAAACTTGTTTAGTGACATATTGTTGTTTTTAGCTTGGTATCCTGCCCCAACTACACGTACGAGATTGGATCATGGGTGGCATTCTCTCTAATGACCCAATGTCTACCAGCATTGCTTTTTGCTATAGCTGGTGCTTATCAAATGACTGTTTGGGCTCTAGGTAAACACCGTAATTACAAGAAAGAGTTTAAAGACTACCCCAAGGGTCGTCGGGCCATTTTCCCGTTTGTCCTATAAATGGTCAACGAAAATTTGCTGACAGAAAATAACATTTCCATTGCAATAACTTTATTGCTTTTGTAATACTTTAAAACATTTGAACAAACTAAGTTATAATTGTCATAGGTGTTAGATTTAACTTGGTGTAGCTGCTGTATTAATGTGTTGATACTCCCAATATATGTTTGTATGAATTAACTGATAACTATTAATAAATTTCAATGGCTTTGTGAAGGAAATATTTCACACTAATTTTCTATTAATAATCGTTTGATTCTTAAATTGATGCTAGGGGTTTGATTATGGGTTGCGATAGGTAATTTTTATATTTAAGTGCTCGCCACTGTTCCAGCTATTGCAAATAAAGGCATTTATGTGAAAGTAACCCTGAAAATCCGCTGGCAAAAATGAGATCATCATAAAAATGTAGCGGGTGCAGTTGCAAATTTAAAACAATTCAACGTTGGGTTCAAATACGCGTACGTACGAGTTTGGCTTTTGGCCCAACATTTTTTCATGCCAACCCACTGTTCGGTTCTTCCAACTGTCATTTTATCAAAACAGCTGAGTTTGTCGAAGCGATGGTACGGTACAAAACAATTATCGATATACATACACAGGCCGATTCTAAACAGAAACTCCTTGGGAGTTTCTCTCTTTCCCCTTTCCTCCTATCATGAATAAAAATTCCCTGAGGATTTTTTTTTATTAAATGGCTGAGTTGGGCTGTCAGAAAAGTGCAAGTGTAAGTGAAATAATTTCGCCATGTATTGTAACGAGATCTAAGAACATTAGGGCTATCACAGAATCCATCTGAGTCCGGTTTTTCGTGAAATCAACGAATTTGCTATCACTGAATCCGAATAGCTACGAACGTATCATATATTTTGAATACACACGTTCGTAGCAATTCGGATTCAGTGATCGCATTTTCCTAGATTTCACGAAAAATCGGACTACGATGGATTCTTTGACAGCCCCTATTATCTTGTGTGCTATTTAAATTTAGCTTCCAGTTGTTGTTATCGAGATTATGTGCTCGTATAAGTACATCGTTATCGTACCAATGCTACCTTTAGGTACAACAAAAAGATAATGTTGACACTTCGCAAAAACAAAAATATTCTGAAGTAAAATAAGAACTTTGTGAATTTGTTATGAAAAGGTGTGCTATAGAAATGGAGCGTCTGACATATGAAACTGCTGTAAAAAAGGGTAATTAACTTCTGTGACAAAGTTATTTAATAAGACCCATCCACTAAATTTCAAGATAATTCCGTAGCGCAGTTAGTTGAGCGGAACCCTCATCCTAATGGCGTCCATATCGTGGACCCGTTGCGTGTATCAATGCACCAGGAGGAAGACATCATCTCGCTGGCAACGCAAATACAGAATGCCGACAAGCAGTTGAAATCTGGCACATGTCAGAAGCTATGTGTGATTCTGGATCAGGTTAGATGTGTAATCTAATACCAGTATTATTAAACATTTTACAGTGGTAATTTATCTTGTAGATTAAAATGCTGCAAGCACAGGCAATGCAAATACTGAAGGAATCCGAAGAGAGTAAACTGTTGCACAATGCCGCATGTAATTTTACAAAAAAGCCTGGCCATATCTATCATCTTTATCAGCGTTCATCGGGTCAAAGCTATTTCAGTATGCTTTCACCTGAAGTAAGTCAAAAGCTATACAGGCCGATTCTGAACAGATGCTCCCTGGGAGTTTTCTCTCTTTTCCCTAACCTATTATCATGAATAAAAATTCCTCGAGGATTTTTATACTAAATGGCGGAGTTGAGCTGTCAAAAAAGTGTAAAACAGCTTTTTCGAGGTTCGAATTTCCTACTTCCGAATTTTCGGGGAAAATGCTACTCCCTGACAGTTAATTATTGGAGAATTTATCTCTAGGGAGAAACGAATTCCCGGAGAACAAACTCCCCGGGAGTATTAAGAATTGTGCTGAATATATGTAGGTATGTCTAAGTACCGATTTTTCTATTTATACATCTTACTTGCACAGGAATGGAATGGTGGACCCAATCAGAAATATCTTGGAAGTTATAGATTAGAATTTGACTTATCATGGACGCCTTTGGAAAAAATTAAAGAGCGCGATGAGAAAATGAACTGGGCAGAGAAATGTTTGGAGACAACGACTTTAGCTGTAGGTCCAATACCAATGGCAATAGAATTTGGTAATACTGAAAAATGATACGAAATTTTAATTTTACAAATCTAATAGCAAATTAATATGTACATATGCAGATCAATCTTTTTCATCATTGGAAATAAAAGAAATCCGAATTTTTGTGAAGTGTTCTGAATTACAGCAAGATTATTAATTTTTATGTAGTAATTTCTAGATCTAAGGCTTATATAGCAAACTGTACACCTCCGGCAGAAATATTCCTCGTACGAAATCTCTAATCCATCTTCTTGCGTTTTGACAAAGAGGGCCGATCAAACACTTGCTTCATGCCACCAGCCTTCTCATTGTGAAATTTAATGTTGTTCGAAGTTTCAGCGTACCAAGGAGAGTCGAACTTGGTTGTATCTTGGTCTACCAAGTGTGTGTACTTTGTACGACCACATCGGCCGAAGTTCTTTACTTGCATAACCTTTGGCAAAATCGTCTTGTCGAAATGATCTTCCAGTGTGGCCTGCGCGAAGTCACGCTTTAGGACCTCACTTTCCTCGTTCAAATAGAAAGCACCACGATGATAGTATTTCTGCAAAAACTTATACTTTCCTTTGGCAGCTTTGTTAGTGATAATTTTAGGATTGTTACGCAGCTCTTGACGACGTTCTTCTTCGGTCAAGTTACGCATATGATCAATATCTTGTTTGTCTCGTTCGGCGCTATAAAAGTTATAATTATAAATAAAGGTTTTATAAGAAACTTTCGACGCAAAGCATACTTTTCACGCTCTTCCCGATCACGCTTCACTCGTTTTAATTCACGTAATTTCCAAGCTTCGTATTCAACTTCATCGTTTTCATCATCTGTACAAACATCCTCGATACTGGCTTCAGCAGTGTCAGGCTGTTGAAGACATATTAAATAATATTGTACGGATAAAAATTGAACGTATAATATACCTTGGACTTTTCCAGATCCTTTTTAACACTCTCCTCTACGAGACGTAGAGTAGCACGTCTTCGGTCTTTAGCTGCCCTTTTGGCTTCTACTTCTAACTGCTTTTGCTTTTGCGCTTCTCGTTCCTTTTCCTGAATAGTGGCGCGTTCACGTTTACGAACAAAGAGAGGTTTAAGGCGGGGTTCGTTATCTTCTTCGCTCTCTGTCTCTTCTTCATATTCAGAACTTTCAGTTTCAGAGGACTCAGACTGCCTTTCTTCTTCTTTTTGCAAAATCTTTAATAAAGCAGGAATGTGTCTTTTTAAATGGCGTAAATAAATAAATGAGTACAAGAATAATACCTCTTCTTCCTTTTGCTGCTGCAGCATTCGATGTCGTAGCCTAACGCGCCGATTTTCCAATTCCTCCTCACTTAATTCAGAATCCGAATCTGATTCAGATGCTAGGGTTATTTTATTTGTTGCATTCCCGGTGGTTACTTCTGGTTCACTTTCCTCGGATTCGGACTCAACTATTTCTGGTTCGTGAATATGTCTATGTCTTTCACGCCGTTCTCTTTCCAATTCCTCCTGATCTTCGGGACGTATACGTAGGCGTCTCAAACGCGGATCATCGACTTCAGCCTCGTCGCCTGATGGAGCCTTAGCTTCAATTTCTTCCGTTGCATGATCTCGTTGTGAGCGTCGTTCAAGTTGGGCCTGAGCAGCACGTTTGCGGTGGTCTATGAAGTCCTCTAAGTCAGATTCATCAGAACTTGTTCCTCCAAGAGCATAATCTGGACGCTTGCCTGACACGTAGCGCTGCACCTTAACTTTCTGCATAGAAATCTCACCTGACGAGAAAGTAATTTAGTTACACTGGATAAAGTTTGTTAATCACCAAATCTACCTTTTTCATTTCGGATGGGTACTGCTCCAGCTGTGCTTTGAATAGCAGCAGATACCGCGGCGGAGCTCATATTGTTAATTTTTTTATAAATTGATATTGTGGTATGTGGAGACAGGAACTTTAACAATAGCAGCTACACTTTTATTTGTTTTACATGCAAATCTTTCCAGTCGGCCAGAACTGGAAAAACATCGGAGCGTTATCGATAGTATCGATGTTTTAATATTTTTTTGAAAACATCAATGTTTTTTTACTATCGATGCTTTTAGGCGATATGCCACCATTAGAGTACGTTTACATAAAAATATAATCTCAATCAAAGCTCGTTTACACAGGAAAAACTCAGATTATTAGCCGTCAAATTTGTTGTGCTCGTTATTCGCACATCTCAAGGAAAAGTTAGGATTCTTCTCTGTGCTACCGTTAGAATGAAGACTTAAAATTTTGAATTGTATCTTAGATTATTGTTTTGAACATTTCATTTATTTATTAAGAACAAGACATTAGTTACATAAAACACAAATTAATTTTGTTGTTGCCTTATGAATATTTTTATATCATATTTTATTTTTCATTTAATTAATGCATAACCTCCAATATTCAATGTGACCTTAAACATAAGCCAAATGCATTGTATTATTGCCTTATAAATATATTTTAATTTTAAATTAATTAATGGATAAGTAACTTTAAAGTAATAAATGTAATTTTTTTAAAATTGTAATGTTTTTAATTGATCAGGATTTCCATTTTAAAGAAAAAGTTATAATTCCCAAGAAAACCAGATAGTATCGATTCTATCGATGTTTCAGTGGCAAAAACATCGAAAAATCGATAGTTTCAAACATCGATGATTTGCTGCACTACAGTCGGCACCAGTGCTGCCGTTGCTACTTTCGAGCGAAGTGAAAACACACTAAAGGGCCGTTTACATACTACTCTTGCTTCGTTTCATTAAATTCATGAAGTTTTCGCACATGCACCTCTCAACTGCCATGTAATAAAACTTTCGTAAGTTATAATTTGATGGCAGTTAAAAGTATGCTGGGCCTAGTCTAATGTATCCTGCGGACAATGCTTCCGGAGCCATTTGCGGACTCGGCATGACTTTCAATCTTGCAGAGGTGGTAAAAGAACTTTACCATTAGCTACAGTATTTTTTTTTTTTATTAAAATATGTGCATACATGCAAACATACTGGTCTCCCCTCTCACTGAGTTATTCAAATACCAAATTTCTAACTGTGCGCAAAAAACTATAAAAATTAATTCTGCAATGTTTCACCAAAATTTCAAACTCTTTAATTAGAATCTTTAGAAAAAAAATCGGGTTTCAATTTTGTACCTCATTAAAATTGCTTCTCTTTTAAAAAAATGGTTGAACATACTTAAGCCGGGTTTTCATTAGGTCAAAATCACTGACATCAAAAACTGCCTCCATCTGACAGCTGTTCATTTGGTGTCAAATGCGTTTTCATTACATTTTAAAAATTGACCAAATGTCGATACCGCAATGCATGAAAAAAATGCACATCATCGCCTTCAAAATTGCACTTTAGTATACTAAAATTTAAGGTTATTTTTGAACAATTTTGCGGGGTAAAATTCTCAAGAAGTATTACCTACAAATTTGTAACGCTACTACAAGGATGCTGTTTTAGGGCTAATACATCTAGGATCATTGATGATTTTTGTGTAAAAAATTTGCAAAATAATTGTTTGCCCCGTATTCGGCTCCCATAAATATGGCCACCGTATATAAGATGCCCGGAGGATGGTTCCGTGCGCAGAAGTGGAAAACTTTTGACTGCCATTCACCTGGGAGTGGCCAGAAGCGATTCTTGTGCGTACGGTTCAAATCGCAGCTCACAACGTCCGGATATTTATATCCACGTATCCTCTGGGTAGCAACCATAGACCCGTTTGGGAGCGAGCTAAAGTGAGAAGGCGTAAAACTTCGCGTGCGCTGGGTTTGGGTCCCGCCACGTTAAAACCCAGCCCAATGAAAAGAAGCAAACAGCCTCGGATGAGACCCCCTTTTTCTGATAACGACCACGGCAAACGTATAAACGACTATGATTTAAGGGTATGCACCTGGAATATCCGGACCCTTAATGGGGAAGGTGCCTCTGCCCGGCTGGTTGATGTCCTCGGGAAGACAAAGGCTGACATCACCGCCATCCAAGAAATGCGATGGACGGGGCAAGGTAAAGTAAGCGTGAAGCCTTGCGACGTCTACTACAGTTGCCACGTAAAGGAGCGCAGATTCGGTGTTGGATTCGTGGTAGGAGAGAGACTCCGTCGCCGAGTACTGGCGTTCACCCCGGTGGACGAACGTCTAGCCACAATCCGCATCAAAGCTAGATTCTTCAACATCTCGCTCATCTGCGCCCATGCCCCGACGGAAGAGAAGGATGAGGCGTCCAAGGATCTCTTCTATGAGCGCTTGGAACGTACATATGAGCGCTGCCCCCGACACGATGTCAAAATCGTGCTTGGCGATTTTAATGCCAAGGTAGGCAAGGAAGGGATCTTTGGCGCCACTGTCGGAAAATTCAGCCTCCACGACGAAACGTCCGATAACGGACTGAGGCTGATCGACTTCGCCGGGGCCCGAAATATGGTAATATGTAGTACTAGGTTCCAGCATAAGAACATCCACCAAGCTACATGGCTGTCTCCAGATCGAAAAACGAGAAACCAAATCGATCATGTTGTGATAGACGGAAGGCATGCTTCAAGCGTTTTGGACGTACGTACACTCCGAGGGCCAAACATCGACTCGGACCACTATCTTGTTGTAGCCAAGATACGCACCCGCCTCTGTGCAGCAAAAAATGTGCGCCCACACTACGCAAGGAAAGCTTAACGTCGAAAAGCTGCAATCACAACAGACGGCCAATTTATTCGCCACTCGACTCACACACCTGCTCTCTGAGAGCACTCTTCAACAATCCGACGTACGCGAGCAGTGGAACCACATTTCCCGATCATTAAGTACCGCCGCCGAAGAAGTAGTTGGATTTCAGCGAGCCCGAAAGAACAACTGGTACGATGAGGAATGTCAAGAAGCCGCAGAGAAAAAAAGATGCCGCCTACAGGGCCACGCTGCGATCGGGCGCAACGCGAGCCATGTGGGACCGTTATAGGGAACTGAAGAAGGAAGCGAGACGTATTTGCCGCAATAAGAAGAGAGAGGCCGAAATACGTGAGTGCGAAGAGCTTGAGATGCTGGCCGACAGGAAGAACGCCCAAAAATTCTACCAGAGGGTTAGGCGACTTACAGAAGGTTTCAAG